TCATTTCAGAAAGTGTACACAAGCAAGCATGTCTTGACTCTGTCTTTCAAGGTCACGCGCGGTTGCGTGATGTTGATGCATGAAAACGGCGTTTGCCGCGAAAGTTATGAATGGCCCACTCCAATTTTTTCACAGATGGTTAGGAACATTGTGACGGACATAATATGTAAAAATTACCCAAATCGAAGGTGACGTGTTTTTTGCTATTTAAATTTTTCTGTTTTAATTCAAGGTCAAATGCATTTCAAGGTCACTTCAATTTAATTTTATAATTAAAAATCAAAGCCTCATCAATTGCCTATAAGACCCTGTTAATATCATTTTGATACCAGAAAAGGAACCAGAGTTATAGCCATTTAAAAAATTGATGTGTGGCATTTTTCGCTATATTCGATGACCTATATCTCAGCCATACGTTATCAAATTTCGAAAATATTATGCGTAGCTCAGTTTTGAACCATGCCCAGTCTGCCTACAAATTTTCAGAAAAATCGAAGGGGGTGACGGATTTCGGTGTTTGATTTGACGTGGAATGCCCCAGCAGCCGCTTGGGCGATTGACTTGCGGTAATTTTTGTTGGGTAGCAGCATCCCTTCTACCAACCAGTAAAACGCCTTTTGGGCGAAGAAAGAGCGAGCGAGATAGTGAGCCCTGCACGTGCGGAAGGGCGAGAGGGTACTTCCAACGGGATTTGTGCAAAGCACCCTTCTAACCGGTCGCTAGCGGTGTGCCAAATTTGAACGCAATCGGCCCAGCCGTTCCTGAGATCTGGAAGCGGCATTCTGCACGTGCGCACGTGCAAACGGGGTCCAAACTGACTTTTGCACGGCACCCTACTTACCGGTTCCCAAGTCCGTGTACCAAATTGGAGCGCAATCGGCCCAGCCGTTCTCGAGATCTGGAAGCGCCCCCTGCACGTGCGCACGTGCAGTAGCACCCTAACCGCAACACATGGGAATGCATTGCCTGGTGGGTGCCTACTTGTATGCCAAGTTTCAGCGAAATCGCCCCAGTAATTACCGAGTTATTGAAATGGGAACAAATTTGGCACCTCTTCTTTTTGTATTTTGCACGTGCAGTGGGGGTCACTCACATAGATCAAGAGTATCCGACCTTTGGTAGAAGGGATGCAGCTGCCAGCTACCCTACAAAAATTACCGCAAGACAATCGCCAAAACGGCTGCTGAGATATGAGCCTCTCAAAATCACTACTTCTGCAAAACAGCTTGAACACCCTTGACTTTTCACGTGGCACGTGCCACGACGGTCACTGAGATGTGTCAAAGTAGTCAATTACGGGATAGAAGGGATGGGGCTACCCAGCAAAAAAGACCGCAGGCAAATCGGTCCAGCGGTTGCTGAGATATAAGCCCTCTCAAAAGCGTTACAGGCTGGGCCGGGCCGGGCCGGGCCGGGCCGGGCCGGGCCGGGCCGGGCCGCTCAAACTGAGATTTTTCCGTTACCTATATTGAAAAGACTTCGCTTCGCTCGCTGCGCTCGCTCGCTCGTAAAATAGGATACTCTCGATGCATGTGGGTCACCCCCAGTGCACGTGCAAAATACAACAATAAGAGGTGTCAAATTTGTTCCCATTTTAACAACTCGGTAATTACTGGGGCGATTTCGCTGAAACTTGGCATACAGGTAGGCACCCACCAGGCCTTGCACCAGGCAATGCATTCCCATGTGTTGCGGTTAAGGTGCTACGGCACGTGCGCACGTGCTGGGGGCGCTTCCAGATCTCGAGAACGGCTGGTCCGATGCTCTCAAATTTGGTACACGGTTGGGGACCAGTTAGTAGGGTGCCGTGCAAAAGTCAGTTTGGACCCCGTTTGCACGTGCGCACGTGCAGAATGCCGCTTCCAGATCTCAGGAACGGCTGGGCCGATTGCATTCAAATTTGGTACACCGCTAGCGACCGGTTAGAAGGGTGCTTTGCGCGTGCCCGTTGGAAGTACCCTCTCGGCTCTCGCCCTTCCGCACGTGCAGGGCTCACTATCTCGCTCGCTCGTTCTTCGCCCAAAAGGCGTTTTACTGGTTGAATAACACCTGCAAACTTCCTTGCTCATGAAAGGGTATGAGGTATTTATCAATCAGTGAATACCTAATATAAATCCTCATGGATGCAATCAGCCTAAGTACTTAATCATTGATTTAACATATTTTGATTTTATTTGCGAACAGCATTTACAATGAACAGATACAGTATCCTGTTTGCAACCGAATCACAGCTGGCACCGTTACAATTGTTGAAGCAAAAAAGACAAGTGCTCACGTCAGAGCCCGAGGCCTCATGATTGTCGAAAGACGACGATTTGCTCCGAACGTACGCGGAACAGACCCCATTTTCCAAAGACTTTCTCCCTGAAAAGGTACACAACGCAACTAAGTTTTAGTGCCCATCTTGGTGTCTTTATTGGACCACACCACTTTCTGAGAGATCTGTCTTAGTCTGCGACCCAATTAGAGCTAGTTCGTTTCGCAGCCGTCTACTATAGAGCCCCTAAATGGACGGTGTTGGGAGTGGAAGCGGAGAGAGTAACAGCTGTGTGAGCAGATCTAATCAGTCTGCTACGAGAGGAGGTAGTGATGAGAGAGAGAGAGAGAGAGAGAGAGAGAGAGAGAGAGAGAGAGAGAGAGAGAGAGAGAGAGAGAGAGAGAGAGGGGGGGAAGGAGGCAGAAAGGCAAGTGTCGCTGCCCTTTCTGAGTGTCATATTTTCCGTCTTTTTATTTATCCCACAGCCTTATTTTTTAGGGCAGTAGGTATGCTTCGTCCGTCCGTCCGTCGAATCTTCTATTCCTGGAAGGATTATTCAATATTCATGCCAGCACGTACTGGAACAATTATCCGACGGTGCGAAGCGATCCCATAAACTCGGAGGACCCTCCGTCTGGCTCTCTGGCGTCACTTTCTCCTACCCGCGGCCGGGTTTTCATAGTAGGTATTGCTGCATTTGGTTAGTTTGACCATAAATCAGGCATCGCCGTAGGCACCGTTTAGCGCTATAACGTTAACGACGCGGAGGTATGGAGGATTCCGCTTCGAGTCAGAACCGACTCGTCACATGAGCAGAAGACGTGCGTAAAACGTGATGTGAAAAATGTGACGGGGGCCATCTGGGGAAGTAGCGTGTGATTTGTAACAGCTGGGAGAGATGACGGAATACGTGTGACGCATGAAAGGGAAATACAATGTAGACGATGAGATAAGACACTTGCGTATGAATGAATATGTTCTAAAGTCAGAAGAAAACATGTGGTTGAAATGTGTTATGAGCCGCAATCGTTTTAATCCGCAAACTTAAAAATATATCACTGAACTATTACACACAATAGTAAGAATGATAAAGCACGATAAAACATTCCTTATGCGTTCGATGAGATGTAGAATGTAGACGCTTCCTGTCACGGCGACGGATAAAAAAGCTTAACCCTCGCCCATGTAGGGGGGGGGGGGTTGGTGCAACCCCCCCTGAGGCTTTTCGGAAATAGTGCAAAAACGGCGGCGCGCAGCGCCGCCAAATTTTGGTTACCTTATGGGGCAAACCTTGCGCATCTTTTGATAAAAAAAAATTTGACCGGGTCATGTCAGGTCACGGAGTTATGACGTCACAAAGGGAACAGCCTCCGGCCGGATTTTCACAAACTGAGTGCCAACGCCCGAGGTTTCCTGCCGGTGGTACGGACATCGGTTGATGGATCGTGATGAAACTTCCCATGCATGTTGGGGCAAGTATTGGCTATCATATGGTATAAGAAACTTGACCGGGTCAGGTCAGGTCACGGAGCTATGACGTCACAAGAGGAACAGCGTCCGGTACTATTTTTGAAAAGCGCCCGAACCACTATTTTGCTAATTCTTGTCACCTCAATGGGAGTATGCAGCAATATTAGCTTCTATAGGGAGCAAATGGACCTCCCAAATCCAAAAATACAATCAGATTTCAAAAATTTAAATTTTTGATTTTTAGAATTTCTGCCGCCGACTGTGACCTTGCCGACTTCCGGCGCTCCCAACGCGCCATTTTTAGAGCTAGGGAAACGAAATACATACCAAACGATAGAGAATTGATCAAGGAACACGATAGTGAAGGTTTCAAGTCGATATCTCTCACCGTTTTGCCGCAATCGTCGCCGAAAGTTGAAAAAAGTCTATTTTTCCGAAAATTTGACCTTTGACCGGTCAAAAGTAGGTCAAATGTTGACCTAGGACCAAAAAATATACCACCAATCGCGAGATCTCGGCGAGAGCAATCCGTTGGTCTTTTCCGCTAAGCTCTACGACGCTCCGTTTTCAAACGCCAAGGGGGGGTCGCACCAACCCCCCCCCCCCTGCATGGGCGAAGGTGGCAGATCGCCGTTTACGGGCGAGGGTTAATAATTGGCGACAGGGCGGGCGCCGACCAGATATCAATTACTGACTCATCCTCACCAACGTTCCTCTGAAGTGGCCTCTCTCAGACGAGACACAAGGTCAAGTACGCGCACGACCATCTATGGCTATTCCCCAGTCGAGTCATCGGACGGTCCTCTTCGGTCTTTGTTTACGCAGTGTCGGGGGCACGCGGCTGTGCGGCATTCTCAGCTCTGAACACGTACTTATAAGGAAATATCAGATTACTAGCGTTATATCAGGCGTTCTTCCATACGGAAAGTAGGAAGTGCGTGGTTAAAAACGATTCCAATACCCATGAAGGGTGGCGAACGCTGTGTTAAGTGAGACCCGTTTTGCCCTGATACTCGATTGACATATTTCTAAATGCGATGAAAATGGGACCCTTTATGTGCTTTAATCCAGCCCATTAGTCCCAAACGGTCGAATGTCTTAGACTTAAATGGATGCGAGGCCATGCCCATTGCCCACCTAACCGGCGCGGATGAGAATGCCAGCCCGAAAAAAAAAACAGCCCAGCGTCAGCCGCTGAGCGAGGAGGAGAGGGATTCGCCGTTGATGTCGAAAGGATATGCTTCGTCCTGGTCGCAGCATTTAACACACAATATGGACAAAATTTCATGTATTCAATAACAGGAAAAATAAGTCATCCTTCGCACAAAGTTTTGTGCAACGACTCCAGAAGACGAATAGTATATGAACATTTCAAGCGATTAGTGTTACACCATGGGCGAATTACTACACTGAGGCGATCCATGACGGTCACAGCTGGCGACTCGTATCGACAGCTCCAACAAAGGAGGTCGCAGAGTCGACACATGACCGTGTCTTGGGACGCTGCCGTCCCGGCCGCAGCACGCACTGGTCTGTCCCGTCCCGTCCGTCCGCGGCGGCGGAGAGTCGGGAATGTCCCCGGCAGCCCCGGGCGCGGCCGCTGTATCACAGGACCGCCGCGCTGCCGGCACGGCGCTGCCGGACCGACCCACTCACACTGCCCAGCGCCGGCGTACTCCGTCCGTCTGTCACTATTCAGCCACTCACCCACCGCCCGATACGGCCGTTAGTTGCAGACTTAGCTCGAGGATTAGTCACATGCCACATTACTCCAGCTTTCTCAGCCAAAATCAAGTCCAGATTTTGTAACCAAAAAGTCGGGTTCTCGTTTATATCTGTCACTTCATTTCACACTACGGCCCTCATCGGTCATCCCAGTCTCGACGAGGCACTTCACACCGGCCGTGCCATCTAGCGGCCGACGTTGGAGGTTCTGTTTGCCCAGGTGGCGCCACCGAGTCTTGCAGCAGGGGCGGTCAGCGCGCGGCGCCGGCGCCCATCTTCTGTATGAGCTCGTCGCAGATGGCGGTAATTTCGCGATTCTCGCGCTCCAGCTTTGCCTCGCGATTCTCCGCCAGCTGCAGTTTGGCTTTGAGCGTCAGCAGCTCGGTCTGGTGTGCCTTCTCTGCCGCCTCGTAATCCGCCTCGAGCCTGTGGACCGGACAGAACACGATTAGGCTCGAGACGAGGTGAACAAGGCCAGGCTCAACTCAACGGTGTTCACACTATTCAGTCATGGCATTGTAATAACCACCAAACCACAACAAAATCCATTAGTAGTTATCTCACACACAAATATTCGACTACAAACCAAAATGATACTGAATCAGTGCTCCTCTCTTCAGTATTGAGGCTTACTGGAAGTCCAGCTCGTATTCGGGACACGGTCTACCCCGACCTGCCCTCTCCGCACGCTCCCTACCTGGCATGGGCATCCTCAGAGTGTTGCCGCAGCATGTCGAAGCGTTGCTTCTCCCGCTCGGCTCTCTCCTTCGCGTCCCGGAAGGCAGCCTGGTTCTGATCGGCGCACCGCCGGTGCTCCTGCAGCACGGCCTTGCTCTTTTCGTACTTCCTGTGGACGGGAGGGAGGAGGGGCGTCAGATAACGGCGTTGGCGAATGGTTGAGACACGGTCACAAATGGTAATGACAATCTGATTATATCAGGAGGGTGATTGTGTTTGGCCAATAGCCAGACGATATTGCTCCAGCATCTCTCCATGGCTGTTATGTGATCAGCCAGCCCGTCCCTTGAACACCAGCTCCCCTCCTATTCCAAGCTGCTTTCTTCATTCACCATTGCAGACAAAGGCAACCACATTCCACCAGTCAGGCACATCACCCATTCCTACGTAGTTCCCACCTCTCTTCCTCCCTCCCCCCCCCTCTCTCTCTCTCTCTCTCTCTCTCTCTCTCTCTCTCTCTCTCTCTCTCTCTCTCTCTCTCTCTCCCTCCCATCCTTCCTCTCACCTGTGCAGATCGGCGAACATGGCCTCTGCGTTTGCCACCTCCTGTCGCGCCTCATCCCGCTCCGCCACCAGCCGCGCGCGGTCAGTGTTCAGCTCGTGTCGCAGACGGCCGTTCTCGTTGGTCAGTGACGCCACCAGGTGGGCGACCCGCTCCAGAACCTGGGGAAGGAGGGGTAGGTGGTGACATCTAGCGACTGGCGTGGGGTTTACTGGTTCGTCCGAACGCCGCGCAATAAGCGGGCGCAATCGAGCGCCGTGAAGGAGGAACTGTATGATTGTGCATATATATCATGAAGAGAATGAGAAGAGTCTGTAAATTACGGAGCAGGAGGGGTACCCATCGTCGTACTAAAATATGCCTCATAAAGTATACACCAACACGTAAAGGGGTAGCAACAGTCCAAACCAGGCCAGACTTCTAATTCTAGAGATAATCAGTGACATAATGCAATACCCCGTCAGAACCGGAAGAACATGATACGCAACTATCCAGTTACAACACAAATAGAGAGCTAAAAATCTCATGAAAATACCTAATCCTCGTGGGCGCGTTCACCCAGCCACAGCCCCAACCCAGTGACCGCACTTCTGTCCGGTGTCCAGACCTTCCCCTATCTCGCACCTCCCAGACGGAAGCCTGATCATGACCCACCCGTCCTGTCCGGACCCCTCACCCTCCATCCACTGGGCCCATTAACCCTTCCCAGCCACCAGGCCGTCAGTCGGCACAAAGCGCCAGCTGACGTCCCGCCCACCGCCACACGGCTGCGCGCGCCATCCGCGCCGGTTCGCGCCATTTCTTGTGACCCCGCAGCCCGGTAACAGTGGCGGCGGGAAGGACTACAAAACACAGCGGCGGGCGGGGAGGCAGCGCCGGCGGTGCATCACCGGCAGGGAGCACAACACAACAGTGGTCGGTCGCGCCTCTGTGATGAACTGCGCCCGACACCTGTTAGGCACTGAGAGGGCGAAGCTTGTGGAAGAGACAGTGGCGTTTTCAGTGAACGCTATTCTCGTATTCATTTTCACACCTAATTTTATCGCTCTCTGTTGCTCCTTTCCCGTTTGCCTTCCGTGTTTAACGCGAGAATCGCGGAAGCTATCACGCAACAGAAAGCCGGGCCACAAGATTGTGGATGAGGTTGGTTCAGCTCGTCAGCTTTGGGTTAATCTGTTTATCTGAGTGTGGTCTGAGATTCAGAGCAGTGATGAAACATCCGCCCGACCCGTCATCTGCTTTCGTCCCCTAGCCCTTGCTTTCTCCGTCTCTGCTCTCACCGTCTCGCATCTCCCCCTCTTTCATTTAATTCCCTTGCCCCTCCCACCTTCCGACCCATATATCACATTCCCCCATCCGCTCTTCCACCTTCTCCCACATCTCTCACCTTTTCCGTTTTGTTGCTGGAGGCCTGCTGGATCAGCTTGGCATTGGCGTTCTTCATCGCCGTCATCTCCCGGTCACGTTTCAGCAACTGAAAGGAGCCCGAGACACCGTGTCACTCGGGTCAAACCCTGGGGTCAGGCCCCGGACGGCGCGGGGGTCATAGGGTCAGCACGACAGTTCACAGCTCACCCGAGCTGGGGTGGTAAAATACCAACAAAGAACGGCATATCCCTAAAAGGTTGAGATCTAAATGGAGTAGATACTATCACTAAATTCTAAAACATCCCGGAACCTTTATTCAAATCGGCCGGTCCTTGGCCGTTTTTACGCCGGCACCTTGCGCGGCCGGCTGTATGCGCCACTCTGTCGCCTTCCCTGATTCGCCGGCTTACCTGATCCTGGAAGTACAGCTCCTGTTTCTTCAGCAGCTCGGCCACGTTGCCGTCAGTGGGGGTGGGCGGCTGGGAAGTGCTGAGGTCCGCCGGCACGGCCGAGGCGGGGGCGGCGGCGGCGGCGGGGGCGGCCGGGGCGGCCACCGGCGGCGGCGTCGGCACCTGCTCGTCCTCCTTTTTCGGTGAGAAGGCGATCAGGTCCGACTTGACCGAGGTGAGCTGCCGCGGCACGCCCGAAGCCGACTCCTCCGCACTGAGAGAGGGAGACAGAGGAACAACAGAGTCAGATACAGAGGGACGGGAGTCAGACACGGCGACATAATACACACAGGAGACGGATATAACAGACGGTGGACTGCAGCTGATACCGGAGTCAGCTACAGCGACACCAAAACACAGGGGACGAATTTCAAAGGTGTCAGAAATAGACGGGCGAGAGTCAGACACCCAGCAGTCAGCAACACACAAACTAGGGAAAATGTTACACATACGGGAGGAAGGGGGGAGGAGGGAAGACAAGCCACAAAGCTCAAACCATCTTACAGAGCACGATTTGATAATATCCCATCAGACCCTACTGCTTCTCAACATCGCTGAATGGGCCGTCAACGACTAGCAGTCTTTCTGGTACAGCGCGGCACGCTCCCATTGCGGCAGAGCCATCAAACTCTATCCCACCGGATCTCAATCTACCAGGTCATGATTCGAGCCGGGCCACCCAGCCGGTTGAACGGTGTGTGGTCAGCAGCCAACACCGCCCAGGACCTCAGTGTTGACTGGAGCATAAGTCACAGTCACGCTCTACTGATGTCAGCTCACTCAGTCACATCTACCAGTCAGTCGCTCAGCCTATCCTCTTCAGTCTCCCCTGGCTGAGCAGTGTGAGGTCAGTCTGCGAGACGTCAGGTTAATAGAGAGGAACAGTCAGCGGAGCGTGCAGTGGACTCAAATCTGCAGGTATGCCATCATCAGAAGACGGCAGTTTCTGAGCTCCACTACTGTTCCAGGGCGGCGGAGTCTTATAGCGTAGAGCCTTAGAGCGCTACAGCGGACAGCGGGCAGAGACGCCCTGTACCATGGAGACCATCCCCGCTGCCGGTCCGCTCCCAGCTCCGAGTATGGTCCGACGGAAAGGAGCGGCCCCGGTTCCAGACAGGGCCCGGTCCGTCCGCGGCGCGCACGGCAGGAGTGAGTTCTCAACAGCGTCAAGGTCTCGAAGGAGCGACCAGGATGCAAGAAACCTCCAAATCCTACACACTGACCAATCTAGACACAAACAGAATCCCCTCCCCAGCCAGTCCATCACACTCTCACTCTCTTCACAGCCCAAACACCGCCGCACCCATCTCATCCACTCCGCCCTGCCGACTGACTGATGAGCAGCAACACCACTAATTCGGCGTGATTGGCTGCGTGGGCGCGGCGAGACGGCATCAAATCCGGCCGTCTGGGCGTTATACATCCCATCATTGCCCGGCCCACACCGTCTGTCCCGAGTCCAGACTCCAGCGTCGGAGGAGGCGGCGGCGCACAAGGTCGTGGACGGCGCCCGGTTCCGCGTCGGCCCATGTCCGCGTCGCCAGGTATGGAGAGGTAGACAGATCTAATCGGCACCATCTCTCGCGTTCGGAGGACGGCGGCGGCGGTGACGGCAGCCCGACAGCAGGGGTGGCCCGAGGAACGGGTGACGGCGGAGTCGGCACTGCATAAGTTCGAGGTCATGGGCCCAATACGGCAAACTCAGCAGACGTTCCAGAGCAGATAGTCCCTTCACGGTCCATATTCCACGTTCCGCGTTCCTATCAAAACCGTGTCGCCGTTCCGCCACCTCTAACCACATTGGTCGTATCTCAGCTGCTGTTTCACCTCGCCTCAGCCGTGTCTATCTCCTATAACGACCGGACCATTCCCTCTTATATCGGCGGCCGCCTGGTGTGACCCCAGCACCACGAAGTCCCGCCGTCATCTGCTCTGGCCGGATGATTTAGAACCTATCGCCGCCGGCTGCCACTACAGCCAGCCCGTCAGTCCGCTAGGCTATCGACCGGCCGAGCCATTCGGAGGACGGTGGCAGCCTGAAGCCTCCACCGGCACTGCCAAGCATACAATGATCCACTGATCACAGCTCACAGAACACAGGCAGATCTAACGCGGCTGCAGCGAGCGATGCGAATCCCATCGACGGGATCGGGTAACCCAGCGCAACCAAAGTGAAACAGTCACCACTGACGGAGTGTGTTTTTAAGACAGGGGTCGCCGCGGCACTCACCACCACCGGACGAAAACGAACTCATCATCGGCACACAGGGAGGAAAGCGTCATCCCATTGCCCGGCATCGACCACTCAGCACATCACAGCACAGCACAGCGCGGTATAGCGCGTCCCAGCACAGCGCCCGCCCCGCACTCCGCCGGCAGTGAGGGCGGGCCTGCTACTGCCCTAGAGATACCCTATAGCGCGTGTGCCACAGGGGAAGGGACAACAGGGACCAGCGCAGGGGACAGTCCCCTCCCCTCCCCAAACTGGAGTTAAGAAACCAGCGGCCTTCCAATAACATACAGACCACCGCACTACGGTCAGACAGTCTGGCACGCCAGTTCCCTGCCGCTGTCCGCGCCTGGCCCGGTCGATCCAACCGGGGTTATCGGGGAGCCAGCCAAACAAGCCGCACTGGGGAAAAGTGATGTGTCACGCCCGTCGGTAATGTATGGACGGATCAATGCAATATGAATGAGATCGAGCGTGGAAGCTTAGTCCGTGGTGAGGCAAACACTCAATATTCGTGTAGACTGTATGGAGAGCGTCAAGGCTAATCACATTGGATATGAGTTGTATGTGTTTGAAGGTTGATCAGAAATTCAGCGCTCAGCGCCGGATAGTCTCACTCAGCACAGGTGAAGGTGAGATTTCGTGGTGTTGGTGTCACCCCGCAAACAGCCAGCCTTCGGACGGACAGCCTGAATTCGGTACCAAGCCCCCCTACTGATGGCAGTGACTAGACCTGACGGTTGGCTATCCAGCAGTCACTTTATCCAGCAGTCACTGCCACTGTCCAATGCAGGGATGCAGTCGGGACAATGACTCAGCTGACCGGTTTTGCAGACGCCCCCGAGCTCGATCAAACCACACAACCACACCCTCCTTCTCCCAATGGCAGAGCGAAGACACAAGAATCACCAGACACAGTCGGACCACGAGGAGCGACGGGAAACACTCACCCGGCCATGCAGCCATGCAGCCGCCGAGGTCACCGGTCGGCAGGGAAGGGACGGGGAGCAGAGACCACTGTCGACCCAGAGACTACCCCCACCACCCACCGACCCGCCGGCTGGAGGCTCGGCGCCGGCGCCGGTCGATCCACCGACGTCATACCTCTCAGTCAGATGTGACGTCATACAGTCCGACCAGGTGTGACGTCATACAGTCCGACCAGGTGTGACGTAACTCCTCAGCGGCGGCGGAAGAGGCACGGTGCGACCGTGTGAGTAGCGAGAATGACGAGAGTTTAGAGACGATCCATCAATCACCAGTAGGGTGTTCCATATTACTATGGAAAAATTCGAAATCAAAACACATCGTCATTTCGATTTTGCCCTGTATTCTTATTTCAAATGAAAGCGATTGACACCTCGTTGAACAAAATCGGACGATATTTAGATGTCGCGCTCATGACCGCCATAGCACTCTATGTAGAGTGAGAAGGCCGAGCAGGCGGCCTTGGTCCGCTTGGGAACCTGGCTGCGGTGAAGCTGGACGACGCGAAGGAGGTACTGGCGCTGTTCCTCATCCGGCAAACTTCCAGCACCAGCAAACTGCTTGATGAGGGCGATCCCGCGCTCGGCGCTGTCATTCACCACCTTCAGGGCCCTGATGCGGTTCTTCAGTGCCTCGTCCTTGATCAGGTTCTGATGATGATCTTCCCGATCCGCCAGCAGCTCGAACAACCGTTTGCTGCGACTAGTGACGAAGTTGCTCAGGGCAGTGGTGTTATCCACACGCAATCCTTTCCCATCGAGCCGCTTCAGTGCCTTCTTGGACGCAGGCTTCACCAGGTTCTCCAGCATCCGCTTCTTCTCCTCATCCTCGACTCTGTCGTCGAAGAAAGCCAACGCGATGAGGTCTTCTAAAAGGTACCAGAGATGGCGGGTTAGGGCCTTGGTAGCCTGCGCTGACTTCCTCGTCGGGATAATCGTTGAGGGCCTGCAGGAGCTCCAGATCGTTCTTCGGGGCGTACTCCGGAATCAGCGCCTCGTGCCAGTGCTTGACGTACAAGAGGCTCACGAACAGTGCCACTTGACGGAGGCCTTGTTGAACGCGAGCTGGCAGCTCAAGTTGGTCGATGAAGAGCGTCATCTTGACGGCGTAGATGGCTTTGGCCATCCATCTAGCTTGATGATAGGCACCAGGAGCTCGAAACCGGACCTGTCCCTCACTTCCTCCGAGGAACATGAGGCACAGACGGAGAAGCTCCTCGTAGTCCTCGCGTGGGTTGCTTCCGTCATGGAGAACCTTTCGCAGGAACGCAATCATCTGCACGCGGAGCAGCTCAAGCCAATACTTTGAGATACTACGAGTGTTAGCTTCATTCCTCATGAAACTAGCATACAGAAAAGTTTCAAAAGAGCGCGACATCTAAATATTGTTCAATCGAGCTGGGTTTTTGTACACATCATGGATATATGGCAAGGTTATGGGGCGACATCGAAATGTCGGCCAATGCTGAAGTTGGGGAAAATGGAACACCCTAATCACCAGTCACCACGTCAGGGGAGACAACGCATAAAACGACGGAGACACGCTATTTCGGCTACCGGGCCCAAATGCAAACCTTGTGGCGGCTCGTAAGCAGCAAAAACCAAGAACCAAGAACCTATCTCGGCTGAGGAGTGCTTGCTCGTTCCCAGTCTCCCCTATACCTATAGGTAGGTGGCAAAGGAGGAGGCACCTGGTTTTTCCAGAAGCAGCCAAAGGGCGGTCAACCAGACATAAAGTTCTGCACTGCAGCCCCGCGCCCGTGGCAGGGTGACTGCCCGCGTGTCACGCTCGCCGTTATGTCACGGGTCGACACATCACGTCACGCTATGGTATATACTGACGCCACGTCACGGCACAGACTGACGTCACGTCACCACAATCCGTGCGGCAGCTGACGTCTGCCCGTCGACCGCGGTACCATGACCGGCCGTCTGCCGATCCACCGGCTCTAACTCGCCACTGAGCCTCCACAACACCGCGGCACGAAAACAGGTGGTCGTAGACCGGCGCCACTCCCCAATCGAGTCGCCTTGGACGCTGGACTGTGCAGTGCACTAACGCCCACTGCGCTACTGCAATAGCAAGCTGCACGTGCACCAGCGACGGCACCAACACCAGCCGGTCACACCTACCTCCGAGGGGACGTACCGTGCTTTTTCGTCAACAGGTGTGGCGCAAAGACGTTCACCTCGTCCCAAGCCCTCGCTCTCCACCGTTCCACCGTTCACTGTGGACCGTTCCACGCCGTCCACACTACACTGCGCTGCGGTCTCGGGTAGCCACCAGACTGGCCACCAGGCAGCCAGCCGGGCTGGACGGGCGGACCGGCCGGCCGGCGGCGGTCGCCAGGGGAGCGGCCGTCTCCCATCCAGCGAGCTGTGTGGGCAGCGGCCGTCATAGCCGCTCCCACGCCAGCCGACCGACAGACCCGACCGGTGCCGCTTCACGGACTAACACAGCGCAGTACGGACGTGCAAACCACGCCCTCGGCTCGGCCTCGCCCCCACAGACCGTCACGTGACGCCTGTGACGGCGCGGGGCGCTCGTTACCGTCACGGAAGGTGGTTGGCAGAGAGCTGAGCCCCGCAGCTGCCGCTGTTCAGCTATCTTCAACCCACACCACACACCAAGCTGAGCTGAACCGCCTCCGTTTCTCTCCATATGGAGCGGCGGCTGGGGTGCCGTTGGCCCCCACTCAGAGACCCTGGCGGCTTCGGAGTCAGTCCGGACGGGCCGGACTCATTCTCAGAGTCGCGCTACATAAACGGGCTCTGGAGACAGCCATGAGCAGCCGTGGAAGTCTGCAGTGTGCGGCCAGGGCGCCCTCGACCAGCAGCTGTGGTCAGCACAGGTCCGCCGGCCGGCACGCCACCAACCATACAAGGAGTGATCGTGACGGCACCGTGCCCCTCCCCACCGACACAGCGAGGGTCGGAGCTCCTCAGTACCACACGAGCTACCGCCGACGGATGCCTGTTCCAGCCACCGAGCACACACTAGCACTGACTCACGCACAAAGCCACCCTGACTGAATCGAGCTCACTCCACAGCACACACGACGCACTGATGGCATCACTCCCTCCTCCCAACCTCCACTATTTCACCAATCACCTGTCTTCACTACTCCTCTGCTTCTCCGCCGTCCTGGAGCGAGAGAGGAGGTTCTGAACCAGCTGGAGCCCGCGCATGGCGTCCCCCCGGCCGGCCGGCTCCGTGTGAACTGCACTGGCACGAACAGACAGCTCTGCTGGTGGTGGAAGTACCGGTAGCGGTGGAAGCGATATGGACTGGTGAGCACCACCGCCGGTGGAGGGGGCGGGTCCGGCCACACGCGCCGCCGACAGGTGCGACATGGAGAGCGCGGGCTCAGAGGGAGAGAGGGAGGGAGAAGGAGAGGGAGAGGGAGAGGGAGAGGGAGAGGGAGAGGGAGAGGGAGAGGGAGAGGGAGAGGGAGAGAGAGAGAGAGAGAGAGAGAGAGAGAGAGAGAGAGAGAGAGAGAGAGAGAGAGAGAGAGAGAGAGAGAGAGAGAGAGAGAGAGAGAGAGAGAGAGAGAGCAAGTAAAAAAGACTACAACCGGCTAATACGGATTGGGAAAAGCCATCTGCTTTGATACCACAAAGTTCCAGAATAAATACTGTCTCCGACTAAGACCAATGGGCTTCCGAAGCCCTCGTGTTTGTGATGGGATTCTGTCAGTCACTTCCTGCATCAGTTGGCGAGTGTAGGCGGCATTGGTGCGAAACAAAGCGAAAGAAAAACACGGCACCGAGACGGTTTCCTGCAGCCCACGCGCCGTACGTGACTTGGAAACGATTCCAATGTCGACCCGACCTAATGATAACACTCTGTGCCAATCGAGACACTTATCATTCAGTCTAACTATTGATCAGAGGAATCCATCGCGGGGCCAAGTGTCAGACGTGGAAATGGCCGCCTTATCGAGAGGTCAGAGGGCTATGATGAGGTCGAAGACCGAAAGACAGAGTGGCAGAGTGGGAGAGAGTGACAGGGGAGAGCGGCCGGCAGCGGGCCATCAAAACAATCAGGCCGCGTACCGTCGTACATACATCACTGGAATAGCAGGCGGTCAGCGCGTGCCGTCTCTGTGGCTCAGAGGTCATCGGGCCCGAGCGGCCCCGGCCGGACTCTGCCCTTCTCTAGTCGCCATGGGGCGGTGTCTGTCCAGTGTCCACCATAGGGTGGCCACTGCTCTCCTATTGAACAGTACCGGAGTCTGTAGGTACTCCCCATCTCATCATCTACCCACTACAGGCCGTTCCCTCCTCTCTATCTCTACCCACTCCCTCTTTCATCAGCCAGCCGTCCGAGCGGAGGCCAGGTATAGAACACGACCGCCCGCACCTGTCCCGGCCAACTGATCAGAGGCGGAGAGCAGTCATCAGGCGGCTCCAGTGTCTGTGCCGACCCGCTGGCCACACGGCTGACCCGACACAGGGCACCGGCAGCGAGCCGCAGTGTGAGTTCCGGGGCCAGGTGCGGGCGCAGATCACACGGACGAACGCGGTATTACACCGCGCAGAACATGCGTGGATGGAACAGGATAAGTAGGGCCTGCCCCGATAGCAAAAGTCGTGCCGAAAGACTGTTGGCTCCTGAAGCCGCTTAGCGCTGAATCAGAGCTTAGCTTATCACCGCTATACTTCTAGCGTCACCGCAGCGAACTGACAGAGAAAAAGTCACACTAGCGGCTTAAACAGCGTATTTACACGGAACTAACTCGCGTAAAAAGGAAGAGTATAACTCCTAAGTCAACATGGCAAGCATGGCGCTGTGCGAGTTAAAACAGCAACGCTCAGTCGCCCACGCAACACATGAATCAGAGCCGCCTGTTTCACCGGTATGACGAGCCACAAGCCCGGCGCGCGCCGAGTGTTCCTCCACATACAACGAACGGGTTACCACCCAAACCACCTCCGCCCGAGTGGCCAGACACTCGAGCGGACTCGACACAACCGTGCACAAAAACTTCACAGCGCCTCCCCGGCTACCTGTCTCAGACGCGTTAGATTCGCAAACAAAGGGACGACAAATGGCTGGCGTCACCCCGCCCCGGCAGCCGACCGCTAACGAGCCGGCCGGTAATGTATGCCGCCGGACCGCCACAAGGAGGTGCGAATTATGGTAATAATTCTCAAACACCATTACAGGAGCCTCGGTAATAGAGCCGGCGGCGACAGGGGGTCGCGGAGTCTGCTGCTAGAGGCTGCGTCCCTGGCCGGTCCGTGCCTGTCGGAGCCAGGTAGTGTCTGAGCCTGTCTGAGCCAGGTGATCACCAGAGAGGGAGAGAGGGAGTCATGACGCGGCACCAGCTACCTGGAACCCGAGCGTCATGGATGACGCAGCCGCCGTCATCCACCCGCCGGCACCGGGGCGTCATCGCGTCATTCAGCGACTCGCTCCGAGAGGCCCGGTGACCTGGGACGGCCGAGACAGCGCAATGCGGCCAGTCTGAGCAGTCCCACGCGTGCCTCCGCGCACCGCTCCGGTGGGCCAGGCCGGGAGCGGGGACCGCCCCTTGTTTGGCAGACGAGTCGCCGTTATTACGCAACGCGCCACCGTCTCAAGATGGCGGCGGTCTCCTCTGGTGCACCTGTGCGCCGCGCGGCCCGCAGCCGGGTCGGTAACGAGTCCCCACCGTTCTCCCAGTCACCGCCGCTGGCCGGCAGCCCGTGTCATCAGGCGGCGGGCGCCGGCCGTCCGCCACAGGTGTGCTCTGTGCACCCGCCGACGTACCTCCGGCAGCCAGTCATTCCCCTCCCCGGCCCACTCCGGCCACCGGCCGCACATGCAAATGAGGGGACGGCCGCAGCGGCGGCGGACGGTAACAGAGAGAGAAGCGGCGCGGTAGACTGAGGAGAATGGCACAGAAGTACTGTCGAGCACGTCTAGTGCATTCACCAAGGCCGGCGCAGCGTGAGTACACACAGCCGGCCGGCAAACTCTGGATTCAAGCAGCACAATCAGCAATATTCGTCTGACCAGCCCCGTCTGAATCAGTTCACCGACCTCGGTCCAATCTCTCCCTCCCCCGCTCACCTGAGTAGCTCCCGTTCCAGGTCAAACGAGCCCAGCGAGCCGCAGCTGGACGCTGACCAGCTCCTCCCGCGGCCGGCCGGAGTCAGAGACGCCAACCACGCCTCTCCGGCGCTCACCGCCTCCGTCTCCATCGACGGCCGGCCGGGAGACGGTGACGACGGCGGCGACGATGATGACTCATCCTCGCGGCTCTCCGACGACTCGGTGGCGCAGATCTGGTTGCGGTTCTCGTCGACTCGTTCTTTGACCGGTGAGCCCGGCTCGCCGGGTCGTGATTTGCGGCGGCGCGGCGGTCGGGCCGGCGGCAGCTGTGGTGACCCATCTGCCGGGGACTGACCGCTCTCCTGTGGTTCATCCTGGCTCGGTGGTGGTGGTGACTCCACGGCGGCCGTCTGTGGCTCCCAGCTGCGGTCATCGCCGCCTGGGTGGACCGCGCCGGCCGGCGAGCTGAGCACGTCATCCACAGAGCGCCAGCGAGCCATCGGGTCCGGCGACTGTGAGACGCGGCGCGGTTTCAGTCGCAGCGTCGCGATGCGGCCTTTGACCGGGCTGCGTGACCGCGAGCGGCCCACAGAGCTGTCGCGGCCCGACAGAGATGATGTCCGCCGCACGGCCGAGCGGGGTCGTGGTCCGCGCGGCGTGGCCGGTGACCGGTCAGTCGGGGGCCGACCACTGCTGTCAGCGGGGGTGGTAGGTTTTGTGAGTACAGCGAGCTTAGAGCGACCCGTCGGCCGACTTCGACTGGCCTCCGCTTCGGGTTCCACCTCCGACGGTCTATCAGGCCGCGGCGAGCGCGGGGTGAGAGGTGAGCGCAGCGGGCCGACCTCGGCACCTCTCGAATCAGCATCGGCAGCCACCGGCAGGGCCAGGGAGCCTGGCCGCAGCCCGGCCAGTTTCTGCCGCAGCGCGGTGGCTCGGTTCTCCTCTGCAGTATTGTCCAGAATAGAACTCTCAGGTTCCGTATCAGGCTTTGGCTTTTTCATGGCGGCGATTTTCTTTCGCAGTAACATGGCACGGTTCTCCCCTGAGTCTTCGTTTGGCACATCAGTATCACGCGGCTGCGTCTCCACCTCGGGCGTGAGGGCCGCTACCTTCTGTCGCAGCTGACTAGCTCTGTTCTCATTGTCCATCTCATCCCCCGACTTCTCCAGCTCCCTCTCCGGCTGAGCTCCTACTCGCAGAGCCGCCAGCTTCTTACGAAGCAGAGTCGAGCGGTCTCCAGACGAAAACACGTCACCGTCATCAGTCTTACTCTCAGCTTTATAATCCGAAACCGAGAAACCGTTAACTAACGGCTCATTCGTATGAGTAGAAGCCTTCTGGACGTTGACAATCGTCAGTGAGTGTGCAGGACTGTCATGCCGCTGTTTGGGCGGCGGTGTGGCGGGTGGCGGGCCGGCCGGGCTGGTAGCCTCCTCAGCGGGCTCTGTCCACCCAGAGCCGCGGGAGGCTCCTCTCCTCCGGTCTCCACCGCCTCCGCTGCCAATAGATGCCGTCTCCGAAGCATCATCGGCGTCCAGTCGTCCCTGGGCCAGCCAGTGACGCGTGGAGCTCTTCCTGTCAGTGCTACTGCTGCTAACTGAAGAGGTCTCGGCTGCGTCATCGGCGGCAGCCTCTGCCGAGCGGGAGCCCAGTGTCAGCCAGCTGCGGGAGGTGCCGCGCCAGCCGCCGCCGGCTGTCGAATCTTCGTCCGGCGCGTCTAGGATCCCTCCCTCGCTGCCGGCGCGGCCTCTGAAGCCGCTGCGACGCGGCGTCGGCACGAAGCCAGCCACCAGGGGGCTGGCCGGCGGCCGCTCGGCTCTCTGCTCGCCATCGGGCACCCCGGAGCTGCTGGAGCGGCCGGCAGCCGAGGAGGCGTCAGAGGTATCGCTGTCCTGGCGCACGCGGCGCCACGGCCGGCCGCCGGGCGAGTCCGGTACCTCCGGACGGTCCTCTGAGCCACGCTCCCACCGGTCCTCAGACTCAGCCCGCCCGGCCCGGCCCGCGCGCGGCTCAGCGGCGAACAGGGAGCGAGCCGTCAGCAGCGGAGTACCACCAGCCGCCTGACGGGAGCGCCGGCGCGCCGCCCGCTCCAGAATCTCGTCCAGGTCACGGCGGCCCACGCGCGGCGAGCGGGCACCGGTCGGCGAGAACAGATCCCGAGACAGGTCTGGACTGGAGGAGACGAACGACTCGCTTTGGCGTGCCAACCGGCCGGAGATGACAGCCGGCAGCTGGAAGCCCGACGCCTTGCCGACGGTGCCTGAGGGGGTCTCGGTACGCGGCATACGGCGCCGGTTCAGCGAGCCGCCCCAGTCGGAACCGATACCCAGAGCAGCACGTTGTGACGGCCGGTATCCGTCATCTCCATCGCCCCCGTCAGCTGCCGGCGCTGCCGACTTATCCGTGCTCTCCCGGTCGGTAGACCAAAGAGACGGCCGATCTCGGGCACCGAGCGACGGCGTCCGACTCAGTCGCCGTTTACCAGACTCATCCTCGCGATTCTCCGGCTCCTCTCTCTGCCTGTCGGAGGTGGAGCGCCAGTCTGGAGTCTCCACAGTAGATCGACGGCCCGGGGTGGCAGTAGAGCGCCTGTCTAAGAGGTCAGCATCTGAGAGTTTGTTTGAAGTCTCGAGAGTGACGGTTATCGCGCTGCTGCGCCGACTCGATTTGGAGGTTCTTCGGGGCGATTCGGTCCGCCCAGGAGTCGCAACATCTGACAACTCGATGCCATCACTGAACGGCAGAAGGGGTACCACGCTCTGCCTTTCTTCTCCCGCCGTCGAGCTTTTTCTCTCTGGCGTCTCGACACTGTCGCTGAACGGTAGCAGTGGCACCAAGCTCGTTCGCTCCTCCCCTGCCGCCGAGCTCTTACGTCTTTTCTCAGACTTGAGCTTATTCTTGGAGGCTGAGTCGCGGCTCGGCGGCGGCGGTGGCGAGTCATGACTCGGCCGGCCGTCGTCCAGTGAGTCTCTGGAGTCGCTGCGCCGGAGCCGGGCGCGTCGGCCGCGGCTGGGCAGAGTGCGGGTGCCGGAGCCCGTCCGTCCGACATCCTCTCCGGCCGCCTCCCAGCGCGCCCTCGTCTGCAGGAACGTGTCTCGATTGCCGCGCGCCAGCATGGCGACGCCGGCCGGCTCGGCGATTACACAGTCCGCGCCGGTCACCGTCCGCACCTGTCCTGTCTCCCACGCACCTCAAACTGTCCCGACTCGCACTGCCTCCACTCGATAACACCTCGCTCTGTCAGCTCACAGCTCTTTTTCACACCGCTTAAACACACGCTACCCGTTCTCCACTGCACCGACAAACACCGAGCGTCTATTCACCTGCCGCCGCTCAGGCCCGGCGTGTGGGCGGAGCGCGGCGCTCGGCCGGCCGGTAGGGACGGCGTCCGCGGCTCGTCTGCGCAGCCAGGGTCGCCGGCTGGCCGGCGCGGCGCGGCGGCTCCCCGGCGCGCGGCGCGGTCGGAGCGGGCGGCGGCCGACCCGACCCGACCGGCGGCGAGGTCGGGTGGAGCCGTCTGCCGTCCTTCCCGCAGGACGACCGGACGTGCCGGCTCGCCACCGGCCCGACACCTATCTCGGCGGGATCTGACGGCGCCGCGACCGCCGCCGGTGCGCGCGCGCGCCCCATATACGGGCGGGTCTCCGCGCGACGGGGACACGTGCAGGGTCACATGAGCCACGCCGCACTGCGAGCTCGGTCAAAGGGCCATGGCAGTGCCACGACTCCGCCCAGCCCGGGGCACACGAAGTGCGTGACATTGTCCTAAACAGCCCAACCCTTTCAGACCGAACCATTGTGATATCAACCTCCCATCTATCGCACCTTCGGGATCCACCCCGTACCATTCCATCCTATCAGCCGATCTATCCGATTAGCGGACCTACCAAATCCTTTCCCACTCCGCCCCGTCACCGTTCGGCCCAGCTCTTCCCAAATGCGTGCCTTGGGCTCTGCCGTAATGGACGCTAGCCACCCGCGCCCGGCGGCCGCGTGAGATGACACAGCAGGTGCCGGGGGCGTCTCGCAGCCTCCCGTTTCACCGGCAGATGTCTTACGGTCTCTCATCTCACCAGCAGTTGTCTTACCGCTTTTCATCTCACCAGCAACCATTTCAGTCTCTCATCTCACCGGTAGCCGCAAGCCTGCCTGTCATCTCTGCTGTCTCACAGCCTCTCATCTCACCCAGTTAGCTTCCTCCACCCCCTCTCTCTCTCTCTCTCCCCCCCCTCTCTCTCTCTCTCTCTCTCTCATCTCGCTCCCTCTCGCCTCCCACTAACGAGACTGGGCCGACCGGAGAACAGGAAGCGACCGCAGGTGTGTGTCATATCCGACCTGTCTGGCTTGGCAGCGGCAGGACAAACATAGCACCTCCGCGCTACAGCAGCGCGTGAGCCGTCCCGGCAGGCGTGGGTCGCTCCACACCGGTTCCACCAGCCCCGCCGAGCAGCCACCGCCGGTACTCCGAACCGGCGATCGGAGTTATCGCTCGTTATTGTTCGCCGCTGCAGCGTGCAGCTGACCATCTGTTTATCAAACCGGGCCTCCATACGCCGATGGAAGATCCGTGTCGCAGCGGTGGAGGTAACGGTCCGCTGCCGCCGTCACAGCTGCGATTGGGTCTCCTCCGAGCCGGAAAAACACGCTACCGGCCGTCAACAGGCCGTGGTAGTGCCGCCTTGACTCTTTGAGGCCCAGCACGGCTCACACGGGCAGCCCTGAGATGGCTGTGTGGCTGCGGGGTCAGCGAGCAGGTCAACCACATCGCCACGCCCTCCCCACCCCAATCCTTCACCGGGGCCGCCGAGTCGTGACCCCGGGGCCGACCCCGCGCGGGGCCCGGACTGAATTTATCGCCACCGCGCGCCGCTCAACCCGCCGCGCGTGGGCGCCGCCGCCCAGCCGCCGTTTAAACGCTCGTCGTCACGCCATTGAGCCGAATTGTAAGTGTCGCCACTCAATTACTGCAGGCCGGTGTTTCCCAGGACGGTAATCTGGCAGGTCTACAGAGCCTCACCATTCGACCGCAGACGAACCGCTCTGAGGTCGATCGGTACGAATACACCGAGATGGGATTGACAATGGCGTGCCGCTGATCGGACCCGGACAGGAAGGAAGAAAAGGGCAAGGTCGGCGCATGAGAGAAACGGCTTCAATGTCGACGTCCCGCGGTCGGAGAGAAGGGGCGTGGCGGGTCACACATGCATACACACACCTGGGTGGCGCCCCTTTCTTCCGCCGCGCCCATGTCACCTGGCGTGTTCACAGCTGAGCAAAAACCCTTCGACAAACCGTGTAGCTCCGTGGGTGTCAGAGCCAGCCTCAGCCGGCCTCGGGATCTGTCAGTCGGCGTCGCGAGGACAGGTGATGCAACAACACCGGCCGAATCCATCCCGTGTACCGCCGACGGCTGCCTGTCAGTCCCAGGGAGACATCAGCCATGCGTCAAACCCTGGCGGCGCTCCATCACCATAATACGTCAGCCAGTGCAGAGGCCGGCTGCCGCGCGCGCCTCTCATTCATCTAATCCGAGACTGGCGCCGGCACTTTTCAAGGTTTGCCGACACCATATACGGCCGCGACACACATTCTGCCAGTCGGGCCCGCGCGGCGCCCCGGCCTGCTCATGACGGACAGCGCGGCCTCTGTGCGCTTAGCGCACTCACGTGCTCCCTCCATCACGTGCGCCCGATGCACCCGTACCGCCTGGTGAAACTGGACGGCCGGGGCCTCCGTGCAGCGATTTACAGCGATCTCAGTGCAGCCAGTCCGGCTCGTCCCGTCCGTCCGCTTCAGACCGCGCCCAGACAACAGCCAGGCGTGGTAACGGCACTGGAGCGGTCCGTTTGCACTAATTGGGGTGTATCGCCCGGCCGACCGGTCGGCATCTGCCGCTACCCGTCAGTCGCGGCCTTCGGTGTCGAGTCGGACACGGTGCCGAACCAGGATTGGATCTACCGTCTGTTTGGCGATACTGAGCCACGCAGGGATGATGGAAGGACAGTATTTGAGGCTAGGTGTGTGCCCAGGGGCAGTCGCAGCTCGCTCTGAACGGCCGCCGCCGGCCAGCGCATCGCCCTCCTCCCAGGTGTCTCCGAGCTCTGTGGGCGCGCCCGGCGTCCCCCGCAGAGTCCGTGTGCGTGCCGCCCCGTTTTCCGACCGTCCATCTCTTCCAGCCGGCGGGAGGCGGGCCAATCTAGCGGCCCTCGTGACACGAGCGTCTCCCGCCCACCACGGATAGACGCCACCTGTCGCCCACCGCAGCCGGCCCGGGGAGTTTTATCCCAACAAACACACCTGACGCTCCTCGGCGGCTTAGAGCTCACCGCTCAGCCGCAGCCGCGCGAGCCGCTGCGCCGGCCGGCTCCTGCACGCCGCGCGGCTTCCAGAACCGGTCGGCCACTTTCGATGCACTTTCCATGTTAATGGCAGCGGCTCTGGCTGCTCGCTGACGTGCCGTCTATGATTTATTCGCCGTGCGCCGCCGGGGCCCAGCCGAGGGCAGGCCGGCGGCGCGCGCTGCTTTGCATCCCGTCTGGGAAGCCCTGCTGCCCGCCCAGTGGTGGTGAGGTGATGTGATCGACGGGGAGGGGAGGGAGCCGTCCCTGATGTCGTGCTGAGCTGTCAGCGGCCACAGAGTACAGTCTGCTGACCGGCCGGGGGCTGATCTGTAGCTCGTGCGGCGCTCCGACTGCCCAGGGTGGGAGCATTGGGCACATAGAGCCGCCGAGGCCGGCGGGCAGAGGGCTCCGGTCGGCCCCACCACCTGCAAACACGCTGCCTCTGCACCGGCCATTCTTCCGCTTCTCACAATGCCCATTGACGCCGACCGCCACAGTCGTTCGGAAGTCATTGCGTCAGCACAACACGTGGGTCAGCTGAGCGGCGATCCCACGAGGCTCACCAGACTTTGACACAGATCTCAGGCGTCCCTGGAAGCAGTAATGCTCTCAGAGGACCCACTATCATCAAGCAGCGGTAGACTTAAACGTCCACTGCGGCAGAACCGCCAGGCAAATCACATGGGCTGAGCCGGCTCTGGCTGCACTGGAAGCTGGTTGACCTCACGCGGGGCTCGTTTCGCCGCTTAATTACCACTCTCAGCAGTTGGAGCCGTGTCCTTTCGCTCGTTAACCCCGCAGAACGACAGAGCCAACCACAGCTGGCAGGGCTGATCTCCATAGCTCTGATTGCAATCTGCCGGCCTTCTGACAGCCCGGAGCCGCCTCCCCAGTAAGCCGCCGGTGGGGACCAGTCGGTGACGAACTCGCAGTCTGTCCTTGACGCTATGTCCGCCCGGAGCTCTGGTCTGACCCAGTGTCAATCCCGCCGCCCACTGCGGGCCCGGGCGGCACCTGGCCAGCTGCCATCCGGGGCAGGTCGGCGACCGCCCGAGGCTCGATCGGTCCGCCCCCGATCAGCGGCCGATCGGGGCACCTGCAGTTGCAGTCACCGTGCCGAGCGGAGCGGCGCGCCCGAGGGTCACCAATACCGGCCTTCTGCCGCCGCCCTCAGTGTGCACGTGACCCGGGTACAGACAGCCACATCAAATTGGAGAGTGTGGCGAATTACAGCTGGGTCGGAAAGCAGCGCGGGTTTCGGTCTACCCCCGGCACCGCTCCACGAACCACGGCGCCCGTTCCCAGCAGACGTCGCGCCCGGCACAGAGTGCAATCGTTTAATCAATGCCCGGCTATGCTCTATTCACGACCGGGGACGCCCAAAGACAAAGACCGGGTGACGAAGGTGGCGTTCACCCGGCTGAATCACCGGGCCACATTGGGTGAGTTCGGAGGGTGGAGCCGTTACGGTCCAACGGCCCCGTCTGTCCACCGGTGGGGTTGCCGGGTGTCGACTGGTCATTCGGCTCGTCAGGTCGGCCCCACCCTGCCACGTGTCACCGGGTCCAGGTGTTAGTGAACGGGTGCGACGGGGGCTACCGGGGATCGACAGGCCCGGACAGGGAGGGTAAGATAAAACGGGAGGGCACGGCAAGAGAAGGTAAGGATAAGACAAGACAGAACAGAACAGAGCAGGATAGTCAGTCAGTGTTCTAAAATTGGATTTTGGTTGGGTGTGACGATGATGACCAAAAAATCTAGGATGAGAAAAAAACAAGTGAAAACCTATATCACTTTCGCAATAAAGGCGTAACGCTACGCTGGCTGATAATAAAAGCACATACCATTCCTAACCACCAAAACTAACCGAAAAAGACGATGCAAATAGGTAAGGATGATATACGGCAGAATTATAACTTAAGCATCTGATCGCCAAGTGTTTCTAAATCCGTCCCATTTTATCCCAACCTTTGTGTTTGATTGAGACTAATGAAGTTAAGAATCACCCTTGTCTCTTATACAGCTAAGAATGAATACCTACTTCAACCAGTGAGATTTCA